GAACTTGGGTGCTCAGCCTGTGCTACCTCTTGGTTGGGAGAACTTGGTTGCTCAGCCTGTGCCACCTCTACTTTCCTATCTGCATTGTGTTGCTCTACATGTCCTGCCTTTAGATCCAAAGATGCTGCTGTCTCTTGCTGTGACTGTAGTTCCATCTTGTTTGCTTTTGTGCTATGTTCATCATGAACTTGGCTTGCCTGGGAATGGCTGTCACTGTCACTGCCAATTTCTGCTGCTGGTTCACCAGATGCTTCTGCAGCTGGCTCTGTTTTGGCTTGCTTTGGTTGTGGTTCATCTGCACTGGGAATTGCTTTTCTCTTTGCTAATGCTTTTGCTAGTGTCCCCTTGGGTCTGCCTCTCCCTCTCCCTTTGCCCTTTGCTTTGCTCTGATCACTCCCTCTTGCTCTTCCTCTTCCTCTCCCTCTCCCTCTCCCTCTGGGTGCTTGGAGAAGAGTGCTGTCAGGATCTTCCTTCAAAGTGCTTTGGTACTTCTTTTTTTTTCATTTTCTCCTTCTCCTGTCTCAAATCAGGGTCCCCTTGGTTCAGAGCATCCTCAACTAAATCCAACAACTCTTCATACCCTTCATCAAGCTCATCCTCTTCAGGGGCCTGGGCAGTGTTGGCCTTGGATCTGGCCATGGCTGCTTCCCTGCCCTCCTCATCATGGACAAAGATCTCTATTAAAGCCCTGTACACTTGGGGCCTGCTAGGTTGCCCAGGGAGGTGGACATTGAGGTGGCTCAACACATGCTTGGCCTGAGCAACTGTGAGGCTGAGGCCTTCTTGAATCCTGGCCACAGGTAGCTGCCTTGCTTTGGCAACCTGTGCAAAAATAATGGGACCAAAGTCTGCCTGGACTGATCCCTTGACTGGGATATCAATCCACTTCTCAAGGGAGTCCACATGCCTGAACACAAGTGCACCAGGTTGAGGGATGACCTTGAAGGAAGGAAACTCATCTCCTGGTTTGCCTGGCAAGGCCTCCATTGCCCAGCCCAAAAACCCACAAAAGCCCACTGAGATGGTGAGGTACACAGCTTGATGGTCCTGTGAGGCCACACAAGAACCATTTGAAAGCAAGCAGGTGAGGCAGGCACTATCATATCCAACTCTGGAAAGGTATGCAGCATCTTGCATCAGCCACTCAAAACTTGTGACTTCATGGTATTGGGAAACTGCACTGGTAGAAGGCCACCAATGATCTTTGCCCTTGTGTCTCATCATTTGATGGAACTGTTTCTGGACCTTGTGGCTAGAAGGATGTGTCATTGGTATGATCTTGGGGAGCTGTCTGAGTTTGGCCTCTGCTTTGTCTGAAATGGACACAGAAATGTGCTGCACTTTCCTGGTCTTGAAAACAGAGCTCCCAATGACAGCACTCATTTTATGGACCCTGCTGCGCACATTGTGGCGAGCATCCCTCAAACAGTCTTTAGCTGCCTGATGTGTGTTCTCCACACATTGTGTGTCCCCCATGTGCTCCAATGTTGCTCGCATTAGCTCCACAGCCTCAAGGCCCTTGCACAAATGGTCTCTTTCACCCACAAGAAACAAAAGCCTCACCCAGCAATTTTGGAGGCAGTGAACAGCTTCCAAGGCCTTCATACTGCTGCCATGTGCATACTTCTCCTCCAATCCCAGAAGTTTTTTCCAATCATTCAACATTGCTGAAAGGGTGTCTTGCCTGCAGTTTGGCACCATCAGCTGTGCATATCTGACTGGTGGTCTCAAAAAGGTTGCTGCAAGGCTGCTACCCCTCTTCTCCAGCAGTGTCAGGACAAACTGGATGTGGACCCTCAACCTCCCAGACACCAAGTCTTTGTACTCATCAGTTGCCCCTTCAGGAGTGGTGCACCCATCTGGGTAGAGTTTCCTGAATACCTGGTGGTTGCAAAGCCCCCATTTCACAATGTCCACCAACTCCTCTTTCCATCCACCCCCTGCCATAAACACTGTGTGGTCCATGACCTGTTTGGGTGTCAAAACAGTCTGAACCCTCTGGGAATGCTTGGTCCAAATTGGCCTGCATACTTCTGCAATCAAATCCTTCTGAAAAAGAGATGCTGGTGTGATGAGCATTGCAGCCAGCTTAAAAGTTCCATGCTGCATTTTGAGGGCTGTCAACTCTTTCTTTGCTGATGCACTGTTAGGAATTTTGACAGCAGCCACCTCTGGGATGAAGTCACAGCCTTGCTGTGGAAGCAAGTTGTCCAGCATGACCATTTTGCTTGCCATGCATTCACCTTGATGCCAGTCCTCACACTGGAACCATGACCACCAACGCATCAGCTTGGTCAAAGGACCAAGTGCACAGAACCCATTCATGTTGGGAAGTGAGTTGAACACACTCTCTCTCCCCAAGTTGTCCTCTGGTTCAGGCTGTCCTCTTTCTGCCTGAATGTAGGGGAGATATGCAAGGAATGGGTCTGCATGGGCTGATCTGCTAGCCATAAATTCTGCCATGAGGGCTTGTTTCTTGGCAAAAAATGTCTTGCTTCCAGCTGGGCCATAATTGGTGTTGAAAAATAGTGCAAAACTTAGGAATGCTTTCCACAGGCTTGCTGTGGCCTTGAGTCCACTTTTTACATCATTCCAAGTGCGATGATATGGGTCCCATAGGGGCAACATTGCCAAGCCAATCTTGAAGGTGCAATAGTCCAACCCTGCTCTGTTTATGCCACCCTGATCAGAGATACTGATCAGGAGTGGCAAATCCTTCACATGGTAAGTTTCAGGAAATTGAGGTCTTTTCCAACCACATTCCTTGTCCCAGACATGAGGCTTCCCCTGGATCCACACTCTTTCCTGGCTGCTGGTTAGGGGTCTCCACAAAATATCCTTTGGAAGGACAAACTTCTCCAGAGGCATGGCATAGGCTGAGAGAGCATGTGAGAGGGCACGAATTTCATTGTACCCATCAATTCTGGTCAAAGCATTTACAGCTGATAGTTTTCTGATTTCCTCATCCACTTCACTGGTCAAGACAGGACTCATGTTTTGTATTGGACAGTATGCTGCCACACCATTTTGGCAGGAATACAAAATTGCCACCATGGTCTCACAATCATAGTTGCTTGGATCCCAAGAAATGGCAAAGTGATTGCAACCTGCATAGGCCTCTTGTGCCCTTTTGATGTACAGTGCAGCCTCCATCATGTCCTCCTGTGAAACAATGTCTGCCTGGTTTGGCACTAAATCTGCATGTGTTTGCATGGCAGCTTGTCTATGTCTTTTGGCCTTCTTGCACTTGTGTAAAAGTATGTACTTGTTGACAAAAGGTACTCTCCTGCTATGGCCCTTCTTGGACTTCAGCAGGGGCACTGGCTTTAGGCCCTTGTCACATGATTGCAAACCAGCTTGTTCCAATACCTTTCCTGCAAAATTGACCAGCTTTGGCCACAAGTGCTGTGCACACAATTGCCATACCTTCTTGTGTTGCATGTTTGCTTTGCACCACAAGCAAAACAACATCACATCCCACAATGTGGCACAAGATATGTGAGACTGTATGTTGCATTGACACCAAGCACTCTTTGTAAGTGATTCCCACACTGCCAATGCATTTGCATTGTGGGCCAATAGGTTGTGCAAATCATTGGTAACACCATTGCAATTGAAGTTCAACTCACCTTGGTGCCACTGTCCATCATCACCAAAAATGGTGCCAATGAACATTTGCACACCAACTATTGCCATGCATGCCTTTCTGAGCACACTGCACAAGAGTGTAATGCTGCGCCTTTTGACATCTACTGCAAATCTTCTGTTGAGGCTGACCAAAGCAACCATAAGCACAAGTGCTCTGCTGGACATGGTGTGATGCAACTCAGCATCAGCTGCACCTTTGCCCCTGTAATGCAGCTCACCCCATGGAATCTCACTAAATATGAATTCTTTCTGAAAGTGCTCTACATTTCTTTTCAAGTACAAATGCTCTTTGTCTGTTTGCATGCCAATGGCCTGAACAGGCCTTGACCATTCCCATTGTATTGCTTCCTCTTTAACCAGGCCTGTTAGGACCCTGTCATCATCCAAAGTCAACAGGACTGGTTTCTGTGAGGGGCTTTCCTCAGCACCACCAGCCTCATCAGCTGGCACTAATGCCATGGAACCACAGCAAAACACATTCTTAGCTACAACCTGCCAACAAGGTTGGGTGTGGCTTGTTGTGTTAGCTTTTGATTTGTTGCTTGCCTTTGTGTGGTTGGTTTAGCTTGTTTGCCATGTGGGATGTTTGATTGTGGTGGATGTTTGTGTTGTATGGCTGGTGTTGGTATGTGCTAAGCAAATCCTCAGCATCTACTGATGTTTGTGTTGTATGGCTGATGCTGGTATGTGCTAAGCAAATCCTCAGTATCTACTAACCATACTATGCTTGAAGCACATATATAACAATAACATAGCAGCATTCACAAACACATTGCACAAAAAGCATCCACAAACATACTTCATTCTAAACATTCAGTGCCAACACATGAGCTGGGAGCTCCATTTGCAGCTCTCCAATTGCACAGGTATCCTCACTCAGTGTCCACCACCTGTGCAATGCATACAGTACAGCTTTGATGTGCAACCACAGCTGTACCTAGTGGGACCCCACCACATGCACACATTTCACAACCAAC